TTAATAGTTTACCCCATATAAGAGACTTTCATACATTTTCATAGCTACACAGTATTGTGTAACCAGGGAGAATTTAACTGACATTAGCTTATTAGCAGGTCAGACTAAAGAACACTCCCTTTTGATTATTTCATTTTTTTTACTTGGTTAAACCATAGAGACCCATAGACCTATTTTATGTAGTTTTAGTGAACTCTAAATCTAACGTTTTTCTCTGTTTAGGCTTTTTTTATACAGTACCTTGTTTCGCAAACTTATTTTTTTTTAAAAGACCCTCATAGAAGGGTGGATTAAAAGTAAAAATTAAATTGTTTTCTTATATAGCAATTAGTTTTTACAAAATATCCAGATGGAGGAGAAAATAAAAATAAAATTTTATTGGTGAATGTAAACAGTGTAGTAATGGGGTGGTAAATGCTTTAAATTTTTATATAATTAGGAAGAAACATTCTTTTTTGGAGATTTTAAGGCAGCTGCGGGCGTGATAAAAATAAAGAAAATATTTTATTTTTTCTTAAATTTCCAATTTTTTCGTTGCGGCGGGTGCGTTAATTATGTTATTGGTACTTTAGTTTAAATGTTTTCAAATATGCTAGAGAAGGAAATTTAGTATTGCTTTGCTGTCATCTCCACCCACACCCCCTTACGTTCAAATTAATATTTCTACTGCTTCTTCCCCTAAAAATACTTATTCTTTTCCTCTAGAGAATTCTTTTAGACTACAGACCCTATATTTTAATATGCTACAGTCATTTTCGAGAGCAATCACATGGGGTTGCTACGTTGTTCTGATGACACCTTCGCCTCCACATCGTCTTTTATTGCCCTCTTAAAATTGTAATTTAAATCGCCGGAGAATTTGCCTTGCAATATCTAAGACTGAAATTGTTTGTGATGATTATTGCTTTCAGTCTTAATCTATGAGAACATATTAATGTTGGCCTGGGGTTGTGCTGTTATCATGTCGCATTTCACCTACACCCACATAATATGAACAGTACCTCCCATTGCTGTTAACTCTCATCATGTTCAGGCCAGACAAACAGGAAGTTTGACAAGTCGGGCAAAGTTCAGAAATCACCTCCCATCAAAATTAATTTACCAGCAGTTTAAGAAGCGGGTTAAGTTTCATTAATGTTGAGTTCAGAAGACATGCAGTAACTAGAAAATATGTATGCAAATTGGACTTTTCTGGAGTGTCAATCAAATTTGACAACCAAGCAATCATAACAGGGCCAAGAGTACGTGCTTGTCGTACAAACGTGTTGTCCCGTATATTTGTTACAGTAGACTGTTGCCGAATCTTAGTAAGAATATCAAAGGATCGGAGCTTCGTGGGACAGGGCGACGTTCTAAATGTGATTATAGTTCTTGTTCTGAGATATTAACAGCTTTCACAGTTAATGAAACCATTTAGTATGTAATTGACTACAATATGTGATGACAAGAACATCTCATAAAAGTCTTCAGAAATCAATATGTTTTATTTTCCACCGAGGAGGTATATAGAAGCATTAAATTATACATTAAAGATTCAAGATGTCTTTATTATCTTCTAAGAGCTATTTCTAGCAGGAATATAATTTAATTTAAGTGTGAGTTAAATGATATCAAGATAGTTCTGTTTTCACAAATACAGTTAAACTTGCTTACGTCGACTTTGCCCATCTTAAATAATTTCTATTAGTTGATCTTATTTTACTTGCTAAATTGTTGTGTTTTCTATTAATTAACAATATGCAAGTCAAATTTTATTTAAGTCAAACAATTTGTCAATGCCATTTTGGATTTGACTTAAGCAAGTTCCAACGGTGTATACAGAAATTTTGCTACGAATATTCTCAAAACTAAGGGTTTGTCCACAAGAATTGGAACATAATGTGGTTTTAGGTTTTGATGTGCGTGGAAAATAACTCATTTCGATTGAAATTGCCTAATTTTGCGATATTTTAAATTTTTTTCTATCTCAACGCAGACAGAATGTTTTAAATCATTGAAAATTCTGAACCAGAACAGAATTTTGAAACTATTAATATTCGTGTCAATATCTCCTGAGCTACCATCTTCATGAATTTTATGGTTGCCATAGGTAACACGTCTATTTCGAGTGATAGCTTCTGTTTTTTAGTAGCTTAAGGGAATGATGTAATTTAAGAGAACGTGAGCAATTTAAAAGTCTCTTACAGTAGTTGGAGAATCATTTTTATTTTAATGTTTGGGCAATATGAGCTTATAATCCTGGGAAAGTATTACATCTAAAAGGATCGTTGTAGTAGAGATGATGATGTGGTGATGTCACCACTAGTGTATTGATGATCATGGTGTAAACTGTAACAGTGGTGGCTCTAGGATATATTTTCTGTGGGTGGCTAAGTTGTCCAACAGGGGGACTTGAGATCGTAGGCTTGAGCTGGGGGAAGGGGTTGAGAGGGGTTCCCCCTCCCAAATGAGATTTTTTTTAAAGAATATCAACCTCTAGACGGCCGAAAATGGCACTCTCAGACTGACAGACAAGTGTTGGCTTGGTGTGGACCTATTTTTATATGTTTTATGGTCTGACTGCCCGACAAACTCTGTCCGGCGGGGGAGGGGGCCCTTGACCTGTCTGGTGGGGGCTTAAGCCCCTGCCCCCCTGTGGCGCTGCCACTGAACTGTAATGGTAATGATGATGGTAATAATGGGTGTGATTCTAATGTTGTAATGATAATCATAGTGGTTATGTGATAATGGTGTATGACGATGATAGTTTCTAGAATTGATGGGTTTTGATGAGGATGATGGTAGTGGTGATGATGATTATTGTAATGTGGTAGTGGTATATAAAAATGATGGTGTTATAATGATGGTGTTATAATGATGGTGTTATAATGATTATATTGTGGTGGTAGTTGCATAATGTGACTATGGTAGTTGTACGATAGTTTTGGTGGTGATGATGATTAAGTAATCAAGTCCTTAAATTTTATTCATCTTCTTTAGCCCTTCCTATTTCAAAAGTATTTAGTTATTCTTTAAAGTCTGGTAAATTTCCTGATCAATGGAAAACAGCAAACATTATTCCAATACATAAGAGTGGTTCTAAGACTGAAGTTCAAAACTATAGACCTATATCGTTACTCCCAACAATATCTAAAATATTTGAAAAAATTATAGATAAACAACTGATAAACCATATTTTCCCCTCTCAATATCTGAACAACAACATGGCTTCTTACACGGTAGATCATGTGAAACGAATCTTGCAACACTAATGTCTACAGTGTATGAAGCCATCCACTCTAAAAAACAATGTGGCATCATATACACCGACTAAGTAAAGCCTTCGATAAATTGCCACATAATTTGTTGCTTTCTAAACTTGATCGATATGGTGTAAGTGGCATTTTACTTTCTTGGTTTAAAAGTTACCTTAGTGGTCGATTCCAGAGAGTGACCCTTAAAGGTGAAACATTAAACCTATTTCCTGTCCTTTCTTGAGTGCCACAAGGCTTAATTTTAGGACCCCTTTTGTTCAATATTTTCTTGAACGATATACCCAGCCTTTTAAAAATTTCCAGCTCCCTTACGTTTGCTGATGACCTCAAGATATATAAAATAATTTCCACCATTGAGGACTCGCATGCACTTCAGGCCGACCTTGACAAACTCGGACATTGGGTTACCAATTGGATTGTGTCGCTAAAGTGTGAGAAATGCAAAGTACTCTCTTGTACTCTCAAAACTAAACTAATTAATTTTAAATATATGATATCTGACTAGGTACTTCAAAATGTTGAATGGCATAGAGACTTTGGCATTTTTATTGACAAAAAACTAACGTTTGCTTTTCATGTTGACCATGTCGTTGGCAAGGCGAACAGGTTACTTGGACTGATGTGGCGCAATTGTCATAAATTTCCTACAACCACAAAAATTTCACTTTATACTTTTACCTCCCAAAAAAAGGTGGGGGAAGGGGGAGCAGGCCTGCCTCCCCCCCCCCCCAAATCCACCCCTGTAGATATTTGTTATTGGGTCTTACCATCTACAAAAGAATTTTTAAACATTCCTCAATCATGACAGGTAAACTTTGACATTGCATCTTCAAGTCAGATATGTTGAAATGAAATCCAGTTATTGATTGGAACAAACACCATTATTCTCAACAGACAACACTTTGATGCCCTGGTCTGCTTGATCCGTCGGCTAAATACAAAGTATTTCATCACTTAAATGCGGTCGTGTTAAAGTCAAATGGTGAAGGACCTAAAAATAGGTCAATTAGCATTAGATTTGTGCATCTTTCATCAAAAACATGATAATAAATACATGTGAATGGCTTTGAAATTTTGTAGCAGTGGTTGATGCCTACTTTGGTTTGCAAAACACATGTTGCTAATTATTGCTGGAATTATGTTTTTTAAATCCTTTCTATTTTTTTACTGTGTTTATGTTCAATTAGGAGATTAATTATGTTAATAATATTAAAAGGTCATTCAATTTGAATCCTGCTGCAGAAACTTTTTTTCGAGTTCCTAGTCTACATATCCAAGTGCTTTGTATCCATTGGCAAAAAGCGCTATATAAATTTCTATATTTAGATTTTCTCAATATTTAAATATTACACTCCACCTCATTCCCTTCATTCTTCTGATAAGTAGCTTCTCCATACACCTAAAACCGTCACTAAAACGTATGGTGAAAGATCATTTACAATTGTTGCATCTACGCTCTGGAACAAACTTCCAGATCATATCGAAAAAGCTGACTCTGTAGAGTCATTTAAAAAACTGCTTACAACTCATCTTTTAGCTGTTTAATTTTTATGCTGGATTTTTTCTTGGTTTTCACACATTTTATATTGTATGATTTCAGTAAATTAAAATGAAACTTAGTATTGTAATTGATTTTTGTTTATTATTAAACTGTAGTACTATATATTTGGTTTTCTTTTCTGTTTTGTTAGGTAATGTATATATACAGTATTTTATAAATAATTTCTGTTGTCATCTTGATTTCAGGATAAAGGTACCAAGAAGAAAAACCCTGTCCACTCTGCACATGTCCAGTCTGCGATGAACGATGAATTGAATTTTGCTAAAAAAGAGGAAAATTTTCATGCAAATGACAGTAAATTATTTTCAAAGAAAAATAAAGTCTCCTTAAAAAAGGATAGTGAGAAACAGACTGCTGTAAATAATATAAACACTAAACATAAAGAGAGTTATAGGAACAATAACGTGTTTACAAATGAAACAAGGACTAATAAGTACTTACCAAAATGTGCGATACAAAATAAAGACGCTATTTCGGCTTTGAGCCGGGCAACCACAGATGACTGTAAGCAACGTATTGCAGATGTAGTCTGCCAGGTGCAAGATAACAAGCTTTATCCTAAAACACTTCCAAGATATTGTCCACTTAAAGGTAATGCCTTTTGCAATTTTGATTTATTCAAATATAAATTGATTAACTATGATAGTAATCATAACAATGATGATGACGATGATGATGATTTTGATGGTGATGACCATGTTTGTAGTTTTGTATACCCTCCAGTATTCACCATATACCCAGCAGTAGGTGCTCATGTAACTGCCTAATCAAAGGATACCTTTTCCCTGCCATGCAGGTGCAATCACCTTGCACCTCTGCGAAGTAATAATAATATAATAATATGTTACTCACATAGTGCTTAACGTTAACAAGGCCTCTAAGCGCTTCACATTATTACCCTTTGTCATTAGATTAAACTCCTATGGAACACAAACTCAAGCTCCCTGTTGCAGCAGCTACATCAGCGCATTTTGGCATTTAACCCTACTAGGTACCCATTTATACTCCTGGGTGGAGAGAAGCAATACAGATAAAGTGCCTTGCCAAGGACACAAGTGAATGTACAGTGAGGGGATTGAAACCCCCAACCTCGAGTTTATGAAACCAAACCATTCCCACTGCACCAAACCACAAGTACACTCCATGACCAGTAGGTTAAGTTCACACTAGAACCCTAGTATCCTGATTAGTAGCTAACCGTTAGCACCCGTGTGAGAACACCCGGTCGGTTAGTGCTACCGTCACCAAGATCTGGATACGCCAACTGTTAACGAGCGCTATCAGTTAGCGAGTTGAGCGTGTTTCTATCATTAACCTATCACAAGTACGCATTTCCAATTTCCAGGTTCCTATTGGCCAGTGATCATTTCCTTGATATCTGTATTGGGAGTTTTCTTTTATGAATGCAAGGGTGAGCGTGTATGTTATTTATCTGAATCCTGCTAACCGTTAGCTGGATTCACATTTTACCACCAGGTACATATTTCTTGGAGGAAATTTTTCACTTCTTAGCCTAATTTATATAAAGCGATTTGGTATAAGGCAGCGTTCCATCTTATATTTAGCAAGCATACTTGCTGTTGGATGTCTAAAGAAAGACAATAGGGAAAACTGGACTGGACAGATTGGGACTCCTTCCAAACCACAATCTTGGGAGGCTGAACCACAATGTGACCCCCTATCTAAACCACTTTCCTTTGCACAGTATGTGGGATGTGATTAAAATCTACTTCTAAAGCATCTGTTAGCAGGGCAGCTGCCTGTCAGTCAGCATTAATGTACTAAACGTGGAATACAGCCTGGACTTTTTTTTAAATATTTCTGGGGTTTTTTTTTATCATTATTTATTCACATTTTCAATTTTTATTAAATATTAAGCTTTATAGCCAGGCTCCAGAAGAAAAAAAATAATTTAATATGTTGTAAAACTGATTTTTCTGTCTTTTCCGATGTCTGGCTTTAAAGTTATTTATTATTTGATTTATTCAATCTTCAATATTCTTAAAATAATAATGGTAATGGTAATGGTTGGATACTTATATAGCGCAAAGTACATGGTCTCTATGCGCAAAACAAGCAAAAACAAAGCTATCCTAGGCTACACAGAAACTAAAAGTCAGAAGAGACAGACTATTGCAGAAAAGTCAACACCATTTGCAATCGTTTTCCTGCAATTTGAGACCACTGGCAATTAAGCAGCAGTTGGCAAGATCACAACTCACAGATGCTCTAATGGTGTTGGGTAACTAAATAGCCTATCAAAAATATGAAAAAACAAAATAAAAAATTACAAGGTTTGAAAAAGGTGTGTTTTAAGTCTTAGTTTAAATACCGCAAGGGAGGTTGATTCACAAATGGTTCTGGGAGGTGCGTTCCAAAGTTTAGGAGTTGCAACCTGGAAACACCTCTCTCCGTAAAATGCATAAATAGTAGCAACAAGGCTGAATTGCGTATTATCAACATCTTCACAAGTGTACACAGTACTCTTTTTCGGTACCCCCTGACCCCCCCCCCCTCTGAAAGTGTATAAAAAAATGTTGATTTTGCAAAACCATTCTCCTTTTTTTTTGTGAAGTCAACTAAAGCAATGTATTCAATTTCTTAAAAATGAATATTATATCCATGTTTATTATAATTTTACCATTATTTTACACATTCCTTGTTATTTTGAATCAACATTCTTATGCGTAAAAGTGTACAAACTTGTCTACATCCTTCCCCCCTAGCGTATTATTTGCACACTTGGGAAAATGCTGATAATGTTGAACCCCTTAGCAAACTATTCATCAACCCAGTACCTCACACATTCATCATCTCAAGGTCGAAGAATGACAAATCAGGTAGTTTCAAGTTTTAGAAAGTAGAAAAACCAACAAATATTATCTGTCCTTCAATAGACGTTACTTAAATAAATATCACGCTTTTGGGCATTTCTGGTGTGATGACATGTATATTGATTACAGTACAACAACCCAGACTCAAAGATAAGAAAGCATTCTGAATCTATCTATTTATTATAAAATAACATACAATCAGAAGAAAACGTTTTGACCTTGAACTTTGATGTTGATAAAACAGCAATTAAAAAAATGTATTTGGACAGAGTTCAACCTGATAGAAATCTTTACATTATTTCGATGTCTGTAGATTCTGATATATATGTATGACAAACTTTTGCCAAGTTTTCACTCATGACTAAATGGCATTTATTTCTTTAGAATTATTTTGCTCCTTGACCCTAAATCCTAAAGTAAGTGGCAGTTAAGTGGGCAATTCTGTTTCATGTTTTATTAAGGAGTTTCTGCAACCTTAGGAAACATCATCTTCATTATCATCATGTGCCTAAAACATTCATAAAAATACACAGGATGAATATCATCTTTGATTCGTGTAAAAGGCATAGATGGCCTATGTTGTGACAGATATGCTAGTGTAGGCAAAGAACTTAAATAGCAGAAGAATGAGTTCTTCCGCTTATTTGCATCACATCCACCCTCCCGTGAGTGGGGGGAAAATTTAACCATTTGGCTAAGAGGAGAAACTACAGGAAACAATATATATATATATATATATATATATCTGTCTCTTATACACATCTAGATGTGTATAAGAGACAGATTCAATTTACATACGTCATTCTCAGCTCCCTGGGAGAGTATTCCATAACATTGTAGGCTACTATGGTAGTAAAGAGCAGAAACAAAACTAAATACCTTCACTAGCAAGTGGAGTTAATGAAGGTACATTTAAAAAAAAGATATAAATACCAACACATTATTGTGGCTTGGATGTAATGTCAAGGCCTACTTTATATGAGATGTTTTGCATTATTTTTAACGTACGAAGATCAAAGGATTTAGAACATACTAAACTTCATGTTCAGTAAGAAGATTATTCTAAAAAAAATGTAGGTTAGAGTACCACAAACAAAATGAAACACTATGTATTATTAATAAATGATAATAATAATGACATGAACTATAATGATTTTGATGCTAATATTATATGTCATTTACTAAGGAGCAGAATGAGACATATTTTATGGCGATATTTTGCATATTATTTACGAGTAATGATGATACTTTTAAGTCATAAATGACTTTGTAATGGAGACATTAATGATGACCTATCTCATTTGATGGGTTGTTGACACTTCATAAAAGTCATATTTAAGTATACACACTGTCATTTTAAATGGGTGCGGAGTTTGACCTTAACATATATAACTGTGTGAGCTTGGCATTTTTTCATTAGTTGAGTGCAATAAAAACCGGAACCTTTTCAATTGAAAATGATAACTTTTTGTATTGCACTTGCATTCATCAACCAGCTCTTGATCTTACATTCTCCCACATGGCAGCAATTCTTCCCCTGTTTTGATATGCATGACTGCCTAACGGAAACATTTAAATGAGCGTTAATATGGCTCACGCCATCTCCTTGCACTTAAAGCAAGTGCTCTGTTACATCAATTTACGGTATAAGTGAAAAATGAATAGAAGCAATGGTGCACTAATATAATAAGTACATGTTGCATTAATGGCCAACACTAATACAAGCAGTTAAGATATGGGTAATAACTTAATTACTTTTTGCTTAATGTTATTTAAATGTAGGCTTAACAACTAAGGCTACGGTCGCACTAGAGTCTCAAGCCTGGCTTGACTCACTGCGGGTGAAATTTCGAGCCAGGCTCGAAATTCTGGGTCGGTCACACTACCTGAATTTAGTTGGATTGACCTCCAAATTAGGAAAGTCGAAACAGGAAGTTGAACGCACCACAATCAAAATACCGGCCCCGCGCGCGAAACATTCTTGCGGTCGATCTTTACATGGAGGTATAAAAATACCTCCATGATCTTTACTTCCTTGGAATCGAATACGAACACATGTACCTGACTTCGTTAATCGCATCACTACCGTTGCTGGTTAGGATAATCGATGTAGATCATAGACCTATGATAATGTATTGGACAGTATATCGGATGGCCCGGCCTAGGCTCGGATGTAATGACGATGCTAGTTTTCGGATTGATAAGTGCATTTATAAATGACAACTGATGATTGCGTCTTATTATAATACACACATGAAGAACTTGCGGGTTTAGTATTCAAGAACGCAACGGCGTCATCGACTGATTGGTCGACAGCCGACGAGGAAATGTCAATCCTGGTCATGCCAGGGTCAATCCAGGGTCAATCTGGGTGCTGAGCCAGGATCGAGATAGGTAGATTGATTGATTGATTGATTGAGTCGATCCAGGTGCGGTCACATTACGAAAATCTCACCCGCGGTGAGTCAAGCCAGGCTTGAGACTCTAGTGTGACCGTAGCCTAAATGTTTTCTTTAGCTCTTGCTTACTAACTTTGAGTATTAAATGACAAAGTGCAAATGTACATAATGTGTCCTGCCCAAGGACGCAAGCTGGAGAGCATTACTCCTAAACTCTCAACTTCACAATTGAAAGTCTAAAACCTTAGGTTGAAACTTGCATCTTATGATAACAAATCTTGCAGGCTCCAGGCATTTCCTGGTTTTATGCTTGTTTTACTGTAGTAAACGGTAAATTGTTGCTCACAGCAATCTGCAC